GTCAGGTATTATCGTATTTATAGGATTTTTGGCAAAACCTCAGCCATTAAGGATTTGATATGCCTTTACCGTACGACCGTTTGAATCGGGCTAGTATGTGAATTATCTAATCCGTTTCACACATAACGTTGGACTAAAAGAATTAGACTCTTTTAGATTTTGAACTACAATATTGAATATGTAGGCTACATGTGTTAGATGTAGGCTTATCTCTAATAAGGGATTCAGATAAAGTTCCCCATGCTGAAAACCATGGATTTTTGCCTAATGAAAGAATTAGGTATTCTATCTTTTAATCTCTTGTTTGTTGGTAGAGATGAACCCAAAATCAGAGAGGAAGAATTTTATATTCTATCTCCTGATCTCTTGTTTGTTGGTAGAGATAAACCCAAAATCGGAGAGAAAGAATTTTATATTCTATCTCCTAGTCTCTTGTTTGTTGGTAGAGATGAACTCAAAATCGGAGAGGAAAAATTTTATATTCTATCTCCTGGTCTCTTTTTTGTTGGTAGAGATGAACCCAGAATCGGAGAGGAAGAATTTTATATTCTATCTCCTGGTCTCTTGTTTGTTGGTAGAGATAAACCCGATGATGGAGAGGAAGAATTTTATATTCTATCTCCTGGTACAAAGGAAATTTGAAGTGGGATTTCTATTCAGAGAATCTAAATAAGGTTTGATCAATTGAGATTGGAAGCAATCCTAACTTTTATAGGTTTGATTGCGCAAATCGAAGGTGGACCTCTTGTTCATGGAAGGAATCAAGAGGGGATTTTGGATTTGATCCTAACTGTTTAAAGGTTTGACCGAGATGGGAATTTGAGACGATCTTGACTGTTTAAAGGTTTGATCGTTCAATTTGTGGACCTCTCGTTCATGGAACGAATCGAGAGGGGATTTTGGCTTTGGTCCTAACTATTTAAAGGTTTGACCAAGATGGGAATTTAAGACGATCCTAACTGTTTAAAGGTTTGATCGTTCAATTTGTGGACCTCTCGTTCATGGAACGAATCGAGAGGGGATTTTGGCTTTGGTCCTAACTGTTTAAAGGTTTGACCAATTGAGGGTTTTGTGAGGGAAGATTGATCTAAAGAAGTGATCGAATCTCATCTCAGCAAAAGAGTATTCGGAAATCACCGTGGTGATGTAGTGTTTATCGCTTTGTTTATAATGATCGGGTTATCCCTAAGAAAATTACATATAACATTCTTCCGAGAACTTCCCGTTACATGAACCATCCACCCCCAGCTTCCTTCGTGAAACTGGGTCTAACATCATACTGAGTTACATAACCGGATTATCCTTAAGAATATTACATATAAAAATTCTCCAGGAACTTCCCGTCAAGAGTGGGAAACAGTTTAGACTCATATACGTATTGGAGTATCGAGGAGCAGTTTATACTCGTATACTCTTCGGAGTAAGATGGAGAAGCAGTTTATACTCGTATACTCATCGGAGTCAGGGAAAACAGTTTATACTCGTGTACCCAATGGAGTAGTATGGTTGTCTTTACTCAACTTCTTTCGCCGTTATGACGCCGGTGTCAATTAGGGCTTGGATTTTATTTTTGAGTCCAAAGCAAATATTGGTGGGATGAAGAACCCTTCTGTGGTATGCACAGTAGTTTGGATCTGTAATCATCTTAGCACATTCTTGATCTTTAATAAGCGGTAGCTCGATTTTGTCATTGGCGAGAAGATATTCCAATATGGCTGGAGCTTCATCATCTTCGAAAGAATATTCCTTTTGAAACCTCGGATCGAGAGTCGCATTCTCAATGATTGCAGATGTCGGATCGAGAGTCGCGTTCATAGGAATTGCGGATGTCGTCGGTTGACCTCTCTCAACTTTCTTTCTTTTAAGAAAGTGTTCAGCTTGTTCGCCACGTAGTTTTAATTCTTTCCAAGTGGTGAATGGTACGACCCCCAGGGCTTCCAGGACATTGATGGAGAGATTATTGTGACATGTTTGCAGGATGAACTCCTTGTAGGGTGAATATTTGATTTCCCGAAAGAGGGAGTTTCGTTTGTATTTATAAGAAGGCTTATTACAAACTAATGATCAAATAGTTACAACAGAAGCAGAGGGAAGGCCCTCTTTGTTTTGTGTGGGGACTTTTAGGTGGCTACAGGATGCTTCGCTCGATGCTCGTGTCGAGTCTGCTTCCCTTGGACCGTTCGAATGAGGTTGCTGGAGAGCTTCAGTTCGCAGTAGAAGCTCAACTTGAGAGAGTTCGGGTCTGTTTAGTTCGCCGGCGATCGGAGCTCGGAACTAAGCAGTAGTGCTGCAATGCAAAGAAAGTTGTGCAGAGAGCTTGGTCTCAACTCTTTTTCCTAAGTTTTGCGACCTCCTCTCCAGTGTGCCGGAAGAGGCTTTTAAATGGGAGAAGGACAACTTGACTCCTCCTTGAATTGTGGGATGTGACCACATCTTCTTCAGAGACGTCTAGCTGTTCCTCGAAACCATGATCGGTCATTCCAGGGATTGTGCTTTATGTCCTGTCACCTACGATGGGAAGGCCCATTCTTGTATGTGAGGCAACAAACGACTACTATCCGAGTGGATTTGACCAGCATTAATGAACCGCATTTATGAGTCCGCAGATCGATGAGGCGTCTGTCCGATCACCAGTACTGTGCGTGACCGCCCGGCGTGCTTTGAGCACGACGCTTTCTCCTTTTCGGTCAGGAGAGGCGGTGGAGTAGGTGTACAGTACTCGAGTGAGTCTAGCCAGCTTGCCGAGTGCCGGCGGACCCAGCTCCAGACTCAGACAGCCGAGGTGAGTCGCATTTATGAATGCTCAGGTTGACTCGACACCTGTCCAGCTCCTTCGCGCTGTGCGCACTGTGGGCGGCCGTTTTGACGGCCCTGGGGTACTGTGCTCTCTCTCCCTTTGGGTCGAGAGAGGTGGGAAGGCCCACCTCAGCACGTGGGGTAGTGGATACCCAGCTGTACTGACGGTTTTGGGGCTTGCTGGCGGATTCGACTCCGAACTCGGGCAGGCGAGTTGAGCGAAGAGCAAATTTCCGCCATCCTGATCGCTCCTGACTCATGCTGGCGAGTCGACCGTTAGGCGAACCTGGATTTGAGCACAGTCGACGTCTACGCGGTTTAGGTCCGTGTCAGAGAACTGGGCGTGCGAACTCTTCTCGTAGACAAATTCCCTGTAGACCCATAGAGGTATTTTTTACCGTCTACAAGACCCCCTTCAAAGTTTTCGGACCTAAACTGGCTTGCGTGTGGTCTGGAACACTTTGAATGAAGAAACTGTTGGCGAAGCAAGTGCCTTCGATTTCTCTTAGGATTTTTAGCAAACCCTCAGCTATCAACGGGTTTGATGTGCCTTTACCGATTACCGTTTGAATCGGGCTAGCCATACTATTCTCCTCAGTATGATGAGTTGTCGAACAGTTTCTCTTAGGCTTAATGCTAAGATTTCTGCTCTAACCCTTAGCCATCTGGGGCGTGGGTTTCAACCGTTTAAGCAAGGTCATTCTTTTGGCTTTGTTCGTAATTTTACCTTTGAGGGCGAATGCATCGTCAAGGCGAAATTAATTTTTGAGAGCCAATTCTCGCGCGACTCGTGGGGTTATGCCCAGTATTTGCAGGCGAAACCCTTCCTTTTGTAGGCGGAACCGGATCTGACGAGAGATGAGCCACGCGTCTGCTGACAGAGCCTCGTGCTTCCCAGCTAAGACATTGGATCGTGGCGATCGTGACTTGACAGCACGATCCTCGTGCGTTTCGCCCTGCGACGTATCGTGGCCGTGGTTCTCGGACTCAACCGTCGGATTCCAACGCTAATCTCGGTCCCTTCGATGCACTGAGGGTGATCTGGGCCGTCGAATTTGATCGTGGCCCCGTTTCCTGTCCGTTAGGGTTTTCGCCTTTCGAGGGCAGTCGTGGTCACGTGGGCAACTCCGCCCTTCTAAATCAGCCGTTTTCCTCCATTGGGATTTACCGTGCTTTCAAATCTCGAAAGGGAACATCCAAGGAAAGAATTCCCGCTTCCTCTTACAATGGCTCCGAAACCTAAGAGGTGCAAAGTGAGGGGTGCAGGTCCCGGACGTTACTCCGACCGTCTCTCTGCCGGCATGCCTGCTGGTGCTCTGGAGTCGTGCCCAGGTACGTTGATGGATTCGTTGGGCGATCCCTTGCAGGCCTTAGGCGTCGGATTTAGGGAGATGAGTGTTGCTTATTTCCCCGATTTGGGGCAAAGTTTGCCCTATTTTGCCTTTAGAGGATGAGTACTGTCCCCGCGGGCGAATTCTCCAGTGGGGAGGAGACGAACCCCTTTTTCGTAAGGCGAGTTCGGCCCTTCCCATTAGAGGGGAGTGTAGTCCGTAGGGACAGACCTCGTTCGAAGTGGGTTCCCCCTTTCGATAGGCGATTTCGCCTTCCTATGTTCGATGGGCGATTTCACCTCTACAGCGGATTTTGTCTCAATTGACTTTCTATTTCTTGTTGCAGCGACCTTCCCTGATGAGGCTTTCCCGGAGGGTGTGGCCGTTGGCCACGTCGGGATTAATGTATAGTTAATTTAATTTGTTTAATATTTTTTAAAATGTACCTCTTATACTTTTTTATTATAATTTTTTATTAATATTTTTTATTAATTATAGGTTGTTTTTTCTAGTATAAAGTATTTTTCTAGTATAGGTTTTTTTTTCTAATATAGGCTGTTTTTCTAGTATAGGATTTTTTTTAATTATAGGTTGTCTTTATGGTATAGGGTGTGTTTCTAGTATAGGCTTTTTTCTAGTGTAGGTTGTTTTTCTAGTATAGGCTTTTTTAATTATAGGTTTTGTCTTTGCAGTATAGGGTGTTTTCTTGTATAGGCTTTTTTCCTAGTCCAGGCTATTTTTCTAGTATAGGCTTTTTTTTTGTTTTTTTAGCTAGAATAGCTAATTTTTTAAAAACTATCTAATTAAATTTTACCCTATAAATAAGGCACTACCCTGATGTTCACTTTCACACTTCACTCTTTCATTATTTCTACCTCTATTTCATCATATATACTACAATTTAAGGTAGGTTATATTTTTTGTTTAATTATAACTGCACTTCATGTTTCTTATATTTTTAACAATTTGAGAATTTTAATTAAATCATACTCATGTGAGATTTATACTGATGTAGATGGCAGAAAATAATAATCCATATTATGTCAATTTGATGACTAGTCATTATCCATGGGAAGATCAATATGAAGAGCAATCGTTTCAGCCGGACATACCAGAAGAAAATACGGTAAAAGATATACCATTGCAAAAGAAGTCAATGCGAAAATCAAAATATCGGATCGAAGAAGACACCTTGCTTGTATCTGCATGGATCAACACTAGCATTGATCTAGTGCAAGGGACATTGCAAAAATATTCTACATTTTGGCACCGAGTAGCAACTTACTATCATGAAAACAAAACATTCAGTAGCGATCGTGATCAAAAAGGGTTAGAGCACCGTTGGTCCGCTATTCAAATTGCAGTTAGTAAATTTTGTGGGTGTTTTAATCAAATTGAAGCAAGAAATCAAAGTGGCGTGACAGAGAATGACAAGGTACTAATTGTGGCTTCAAATTATTTAAACTGATTAGATTTATATAATTTATTAATTGTTTTACTTTTTACATGTTAGTAAATTTATTTTATTTTTTAATTAGATTATGGAAGCGATGCAAATGTTTCAAAGCATGCAAGGAGCAAGTTTTCAATTTTTACATTGTTGGAATGAGTTAAGGTTCCATCCAAAGTGGCTTGGCCAATTTTCAATGAAAAAATCTAAGAGGTCAAAAAATTCAAGTCCTGCTACATCTTCTCATGCAACTCCAGATTCAATAAATTGTAGAGAAGACGAATGTCCTACTGAGGGTTCGTCAAGGCCCATAGGAAGAAAGGCTGCAAAAGAAAGGTTGAAACAAGGTAAAGACAAGAATGTGGCTTCTGAAATTACACCAGTGATGTTGTTTATTGATGAAATGAAGCAGGATCGGAAAGAAAAAGAAATAAAGAGAGCAGAATTATTTGGTCAAATTTATGTTCAGGAGCAAGAGCGCATAAAGATAGAGCAAGCTAGACTACAGGTCGCTCAAGAAGCTCAAAATATCAAAAAGAAAAAAATGTGATTGAAAGCTATGAAACAAGATGAGAGGATTATGGCAATTAACACTGATGGCATGCCTCCATTGCAAGTAGAGTATTACAATAAGTTGAAGATGGAAATTCTTGAAAGGCAATTTGGTGGTGGTAGTTCAAATTAGAAGGAAGATGGTGTATCGTACTTGAAGATGATGTATCATATTTAGTGTGCTCTTATGTATTTCAATTTACTCTTGTTGTATCGTACTTGAAGATGATGTATCGTATTTGAATATTTTATGAAGTTCTATTTATGCAAATGGAAACTTTTCTCAAAAATCAAATATGATCACATATTAATATAGAAATTCAATAACATCAATATTACATCAACTAACAGGTCCTTACTTGCAACACTAAATTAAATGACATTAATATTACATCAGCATACAAATCCCTTACTAAAGCCCACCATTTCGTTCCCATAAATGTTCGACAAGATCCAATTGCAATTGAGAATGAGTTTGTCTGTCTCTAATGCGATGATGATTCTGAATAAATTCACACAAATCTATTGTACGTTCGTGAGACACTGATATAGTTGGGGCTTCCTCAGCAGCATCGTACGTGAAGTCGATATAATCATCATTTCTTTCATCTTCAACAATCATGTTATGCATTATTATGCATGCTTGCATAATATTTTTCAATATTTTCTCATCCCAAGAGCGAGCTGGTCCACGCACAATTGCAAAGCGTGATTGGAGTACCCCGAATGCTCGCTCTACATCCTTTCTTGCCGACTCATGAAGTATAGCAAAATGTTTTCTTTTATTTCTTTGTGGTAAAGAAATTGTTTTAACAAATGTTGCCCATGACGGATATATACCATCAGCAAGGTAGTATCCCATCGTGTATTCATGACCATTGACTGTATAATTAACAGTCGGACCATGCCCTTCAGCAAGTTGAGAAAAAACGGAAGACCGTTCTAACACATTAATGTCATTAAGAGCTCCCGGTAAACCAAAATAAGCATGCCAAATCCAAAGATCATAGGAAGCAACAGCTTCTAAAATTATTGTAGGAGTGTGGTTGTGACCAGTATACATACCATGATACGCAGCCGGACAATTCTTCCATCTCCAATGCATGCAGTCAATGCTTCCTAACATCCCAGAAAATCCTCGTTGTTTGCCAATTGCAAGCAATCTTGCAGTGTCCTCGTCAGTTGGTGACCTTAGATACTCATCACCGAAAATTACAACAATTGCTTTGATAAACCCGTCGAGACTCTATAGCGGCGCTTTCTCTAATCCGCACGTAATCATCCACAGAATCTGCTGATACTCCATAAGCAAGCATCCTCATAGCAGCAGTTACTTTCTGTAGTGAGGATAAACCAATTTTCCCAGCAGCATCCCGTTTCTGGACAAAGTAGGAATCATGTGTTTCCACTGCGGATAAAATACGCAAAAATAGTGGGCGATGCATACGAAACCTCCTTCGAAATAGTTTTGCTGGATACACAGGAGATTCACTAAAATAATCATGAAAAAGCCTCTCGTGACCTTCAGCTCTATTGCGTTGAATTACAGCGTGCCCTGGAATGGAACCACGACGACGAGAACTTTGACCTTCGCTGGAGTGGTGTTCTTCCAAAGATGCGATTGCTAATAAGGTCGCGTAATCATCATCGTCGTCATCCTCTTCCTCTTGTAGCAAGGCACGTAACAAATTACTAGCCATAAATAATATTGAAGATTGAGTTAAAAAAATTGAATGAATTTGAATTTAGTGAAAATGAATGACACTGGTAGTGCTATTTATAGAAGGAGTGACCACATTTAATTGAAAAACGACCGTTGAAATACGACCGTTAAAATATGACCGTTGAAATATGACCGTTAGAATATGACCGTTGAAATATGACCGTTGAGATATTATTGTTAAATAAAATTAATATTAAAATAATATGAATTTAAATTTAAAATAATATTTAACTTTTAACACGATTTATATAAATTAATTATTATCTAAATTAATTATTTGTTAAAATTTAATTTAATTAATTAATTTAATGATTATATAAAGTAATTTCTTAATTTAGATTAATTAATTATTTTTAGTTATTAATATTTATTTATTTATTTATTTATAAATAAACTACATATTTAATTAAATCTTAATTCATAAAATTAAAAAACTAAATATAATTAATTAAGGGGTAGGGGGGTTTTAAGGGGAACCATTGGAGAAGAACCAATCCCTTCCCCAATAGTACCCCCTAAATTAAGGGACATCCAAGGGAACCCTTGGAGATGCTCTAAGTCGTTGATTTGTAAGCACCAGGTATGCACGGGAAGGGAATGTATCTATAATTCTCATTTGGTTAATGGAAGTTATTCATTTACCAAAAAAAAAAAAGAAAAAAAAAAGGAAGCCGTTGCCCCATGTCATTCGCCCCTAAAAGATGAGCAGGTTGTATATATCTACTATTATATATATTAGGGTTCTTTATATTAATCCCTTTAATCTTTAATATATTTTAAAATTATCACATCATTGGGAATTTTATTAGGTCTTCCAATTCTTAATTATTTTTTGTAATTAGTCTCTTAAAACATTTAAATTTCTATTACATACCATAATTCTTAAGTTATTTTGAAATTAGACCCTTCGGTGCAATCAAATATTGAAACAGGAAAAGAGAATATACCTGACTGAGACTTATTACAAATTTGTCTATGGAAGTTGACTACTTCAATTGACTGTGTATCATCGAAAAATTTCACATAACCCGCACAACTTTGGAGGATAACCCATGAATTTTCTTTTTTGATTAGATCTTCCTAAACTTTAGAGTGCCTCACAAAACGGTCTAAAACTATTTTGTAATTTTTTTTGACCAAACACTTTTTTCTTATTCTAGCTGACAATGTCATTAACACCTTGAGGGAGTTCATGAGTAAATTTGAAAGTTTCGGGTGGGGAATTGTGAAAATTGCCATTAACACCTTTAGGGGGTCTAGGAGAAAATTTGATAGTTCAGAGGGGGTTTCACGGGAATGTTCGAGGGGTGCGTTGTGAGAATTGTTAGATTCGTAGTTAATAATTCAGTATTAAATCAATAACTGAAATCAAATTGAATAAAATATTCCTAAAGAGAACTGTTAGGAAAAACACTTTCTGTAGGAGAGAGAAAGAACTAGAATTGCTAGAGTGAGGTACGTTAAGTGACAATCTCTTTAAGACAAATTACGCCCCCTGCTATGGTGCTTACAGGATGATCGGACGCTATCTCTTGAGATACAACACTCCTTCACAGCTTTGGAGAAACACTTCTTCAAAGCTGTACTAGCAAACCAAAGCTAACCGTACTTTCCACCACTAGACCGGAAAGGAAAACGAATGGAAGAAGAACGAACTAAAAATTCGGATCTCTCTTAAACACACTGGATTTGATTCAATTAATGATGAGTGTACTTTGGGAATGAGATTTTGGGTTCCTTTTATAGGGACTAGGTGTCTTTTGAAGACATCTCTTCACCAAAGGACGCACCCATCCGGAATAAAAAGAAGTGATTGTTTGGGTTCGAACAGACACAACTCAACCGAACAGTTACGACACTTCGTGATTAGATGCGCCCGTTAAACTTTAGTTTTTCTCCATCTTCCGACTTGAATATCTCATTCATTTAGAAACCGATTTGGACAAGTGAGCATACCAGATTCATTGCCTTTGAATGAAGAACGCGTTCAAACCCACTCTCATCCATTTCGGATAGTGGGACCCACCAAAATGTTTAGCTCAATTTGCTAAGAGGTTGTTTTCATTCATTTAGATTGTTAGATTCGTAGAAAACAATTCAGTATTAAATTAATAACCGAATCAAATTGAATAAAATATTCCTGAAAAGAACTGTTAGGAAAAACACTTTCTATAGGAGAGAGAAAGAACTAGAATTGCTGAAGTGAGGTACGTCAAGTGACGAATCTCTTTAAGACAAATTACGCCCCCAGCTATGGTGCTTACAGGATGATCAGACGTTGTCTCCCAAGATACAACACTCCTTCAAGCTTCGGAGAAGCACATCTACAAAACTGTACTAGTGAACCAAAGCTAACTGTGCTTTCCACCGCTTGACTGCATAGGAAAACGAATGGAAGAAGAACGAACACAAAATTTAGATCTCTCTTGAACACACTAGATTTGATTCAATGTCGAGCGTACTTTGGGAATGAGATTTTGGGTTCCTTTTATAGGGACAAGGTGTCTTTTGAAGACACCCCTTCACCAAAGGACGCACCCATTCTGAATAAAAAGAAGTGACTGTTAGGGTTCGAACAATCACAACTCAACCGAACAGTTGCAACTCTTCGTGATTAGATGCGCCCATTAAATTTTAGCTTTGGTCCTCTTCCAACTTGAATATCTCATTCATTCGAAAACCGATTTGGACAAGTGAGCACACCAGATTCATTTCCTTTGAAGAAAGACCACGTTCAAACTCACTCCCATACATTTCAGATAGTGGGACCTGTTCGCGGGAAAAATCGTGTCTTTCTTCATTGATTCCATTGCACTCTTAAATAACAACTTTTTGAGTTACAAAGATCCGGTCTTTTTATAAGATCCGGTTACAAAGAGATCAAAAAAGGAAATAAAAATTACAACTTTTCTTTTTTGTCGAACGAATCGCGAGCTCCTGTTTTGCGGTTGCTCGCTTTGTGGGTTCTTTGCCTGCGCCGGGGTTTATCCGTGGACCACCGCAAGATCTAGATCCGGTCGGATCTACGCAGTACGACGGGTATTATTTCACCAAGGAAATAATAGCCGGGGGGATTGGTTCACCAAGGAAATAATCGCCCAAATCTCGGGATCAAAGGCCAAGCTTTGATCCGGAGTACGCCTGCGTAGATCTGAGATCTGGTCCTCTCGAACTCTTGCCTTATTTGGCGTTGATGATCGCCGAGCACCAGATCTGGATGAACAAGTCCTCGAAGTCCCAAAGCTTGGATCTTTTTTTAGATCTGAGTCTTCAATCCAGCAGGGCTTCGCCTCCAGAAAATCCAACCTTTTCAAATGAACACTCAAGGGCATATTTATAGGCTCTCAGATCTGTGCCCGCGCACAGATCTGGGCGGCCACCCATAGGTGGCTTGGCTCTGGGCCGAGCCACCCATGGGTGGCTCGGCTTTGGCCGAGCCCCCCTTAGG